TGCGTTGTTTTAATATATAGTGTTAAAATATGAAATATTTCATTTCCTGAACATAGCCTCATAGTCAATATTTTTTGAGTACCACTGAATACTCAGTACCACTGAGCGAGCAGTGTTTTTTAGCATGCCAGGGATGCAGAAGATGACTGAAATGTACGATACCTACACCCACCACAGGGCTATGAACAGAATTAAATGAGATAAGTTATTTGGAAGTATACAACTCAGTGTCTGTTAAAAAAACAAAAGGAAATTCATTATTTGATGTTACCTTCACTTGTCTTAGCATAAACCCATGGCAGTCAGAGATGGGATACCAGAGCTCTTTCAGAGTCCCCATCTGTATTCCAAGAGGAATAAGAGGGAGATAGCAAGCTTTTTATTTGTCCTTTTAATGAGCCAGGACTTCCCACTCAAGTGTGAAAACCCAGATACCAGGTCTCCACCACTCTAAATGCCCAGCTTCTCAAAGCCTTCACTCCACATTTTTCATTACTCTGCAAATACTCTTTTCTCACAAACCTCCTAATTTATTTTGCTATGGAAGTTTCCAGCCATTTTTTTAAATCAGCAATTAACGTAATCATTCTCTTCTATTCTAACTTCTCTCCAAATCTTTACAAAAGCCTGGCTGGTCAGATGTATCTGCTAGAGATAAGTGATGCTTCCTCACTCTCCATACCCATTGGTTATAGAAAAAAAAATCATCTGAGGAGCAATGGGGATTCCCAGTAAATCTCTTCCTCTTTTTTTTTCACCAAAATATCTCACCCAGAAGAAAAGAAATAACATAGAGACTGATAGAAGGATTGATCCCCTTGGGTGCTACCTCCCAAAGGAAAGAAATTACATTCCTTCTAAAAGACCACCATTCCTCCCTCATTTGTGGAATACCAGTTTCTAAAGCACATTTGAGAGCCCAAAGGAACATGGCAATCCTCCCAGACATTCCTGTGGTCGCCATATTGATCTCTATGTCTAATCCTTCAAAACTGAATTGTGAAAATATTTTTTTTCTGCTTCTATTCCAATCTTTCTGAAAGATGCAACTTCTTGGACACATTTTCAGTGCTTTTCCTAATGTACTCTAACTCTGAACATCCAATCAGATCTCCCAGCATTATTTAAGGAGGAATTTTTAAATCCAATCAATCAGATTCCTCACTATTCACTACCTCCTCACCTTCCACCTCGTACAGGTTTTTCATTCCTGTTTCTGCTTTCCAGCTAGTCTCTAATCAACCAGAAACATAAACCATCCCCCACCTTCTGAATATCACCTCCCCTGGAATTTATATCTTTATAAATAGTTCTTACTGTAAAAATAGATGTATAATTAATTTTAACCATTTTGTTTTATCTTGAAAGTTAATTAAAACAATTTGTATTTTTCATAGATGTCTTGATTATAGATCTGTCACATTATTATAGATTCTTTTCTATGTCTATATTTACTATAGAATGTCTATATTTACTATACTATCTATATTTACTATACTATGTCTATATTTACTATACTATCTTCTTGTTTCTTTGGAAATAAGACCTAAATCATATTTATCTTTGCGCCCCCAGAATTAGAAAAATCCTTTGCACATAGACAGCACTCAATAAGCTTCTTGTGAGTTGACTATCCAAACTAGACTGCATATGTATGTACACATACATGGGCTAGAGCCTCAGTCACTGAATGGTGAATGTTGTCAACACACTGAAGCAGAAGACATGAAAAATAGATAATAAGAATATTTTTCTTACTACGTGAATTTAGATATAGAAAATATATGAAAGAAGGATAGTATCTTCCATTCACAAAACTCTCTTTTCACCAAATTACTGCTTAACATGACTTCCTATGTGACTCCAACAACAACTTCTCCTCTTATATAGAAAAAGGTAACTTATTCCCTCTAGAAAATGGAAGGATGAACTAACTAGTGACCAAGAGAGTTAATTCACAGAATCATGTCTCATATAACACCCAATTGTCATAATTCAACGATCACTCGCAGAAGATCTGGACTGGTTCTTTAGGTTTTCAGGAGATTATTTATACTGTCCCACACTTCTCATATATCCACAAACTGTCCATTCAGAGCTGGACCCTGATATCTCATAGAATTATCTGTTCCAGATCCTCTGGAGATGCGCCTCTCATTTCCTCATTTCCCAGACGCTAGAGTCCACCCAGTGAGGAGAGGCTGGCATCAGCCATGTGCTCAGTTAGGGACTCCTGTCCAGAGTTTTCCTAGAATATCCTGTGGGAATTTGTCACTTAGCCCCAATATTTTCCCATTATTTGGTGTGTCTATTTAATGCTGCTGCTTAGACATAGCTTCTATCTCTGACAAGACTAGTAATTCTAGCCCAGAGCTCCATTTTAGTTAATTCTCTGTATCTTCTTGTTCATTTATGACTCACATATGCTATGTCCCATGAACCATGTGTTTGTCGAAGAGCACAATGTTCAACTTTCTCCCAGGTTCTGCTTTGGCTCCCTAACATCTGCTATAATCACAGAAATGTTTCCTCCTCATTGCCTTTTCTATATGCACCTCATTTTTACTCTTCCAATATCTACAAAAATATTCTCAGTTCTCTTGAGGTCTTATATATATATTTTTAATATATATATATTTTTTTTAGTTTTCGTCGGACACAACATCCCTGTATGTGGTGCTGAGGATCAAACCCGGGCCGCACGCATGCCAGGCAAATGCGCTACCACTTGAGCCACATCCCCATCCAGGTCTTATATTTTTTTAAAAGTACATTTTTAAGTTACTTATGTAGTTACACACACACACACATATAATATATATATATATATATATATACATATATAAAGAATTTATGTATATGTTTACTTATTTATGCATGATTAGGGATAAATGAGAATAGCTCTGTCCCCTAACCCTACTTTTCTATTTGGCCACAATATAGATGAGACCTCTGCACTGGGGTGGGAGTCAGTGAAAGGAGGGTGGATCAGCACAGCTGGTGAATAGACACAGGCTCAGAAAACATCCAATTTTCATTCTACATCCTCCATTTCTGCTTTTGGTACATGTCTCACCTCAACTATATCTCAAGAAGTTATTTGAAGGTTTATTCTGGTTGTCTCCTACGTTTTATAAAAAATTAATTTTATTTCATTATTTTTACAAAATAAAATTGCATATAATGATGAAGTACAAAGTGATGTTGTGATAGATGTATACAGGTGGAGTGACTGGACCAAGCTAATTAACATATCCATTACTTTAAATACTTATCATTTACTCTTCTGTGCTATCTGCAATTTTGTATCATTTGGCCAAGATCTCCCTATTCACCTTAACTCATTCCTCTGATAATTACTATTCTACTCTCTGCATCTATAAGTTCGGTTTTTTTAGATTCCACATATAAAAGAAAACACGCAGTATTTGTCTTATTTCACTTAAAAATGCCTGACTTATTTCACTTACAATGATGTCCTTCAGGTTCATCCGTGCTGTTGCAAATGACAGAGGTTCCTTCTAAGGCTGAAGAATATTCCATTGTGTGTGTGTGTGTATCACATTTTCTTTATCTATTCATCTACAGATGGACACTTAGGCTTATTCTACAATTATTTATGGTTATCATAAATAATGCTGCAATAAACATGGGAGCACAGAAATCTCTTCAACATCTGATTTCAAGTTCTTAGGATTATACACCTAGAAATGAGATTGTTGGACCATATTATAGCTCTATTTTTAGTTTTTGAAGACCCTTCATACAGTTTTCCATTAGGGCTGTATCAGTTTATATTCCCACCAATAGTATGCATTGGGTTCCCTTATCTCCACATCCTCTCCAGCACTTTTCCCTCCCTCCCTTCCTTTCTTCTTTCTCTTTCCTCATAATGGGGATTGAACCCAGGGCAAACACTTCCTCCTATTCCATAGGTTGACTCTGTACTTTGTTAATTTTTCCTTTACTATATAGAAGCTTTTTACTTTGATGTAATCTCTTTAATTATTTTTGCTTGTGTTGCCTGAGGTTTCTGAATCAAACCCAAAAAATCATTGAGTGAAGCAGTATCAAGTACCCTTATATTTCCCTTTAGTATTTTTTAAAATTCCAAGTTTTATGTTTAAGTCTTTAATCAATTCTTCATTAATTTTTATATATGGGTGAGTTAAGGATTTAGTTTCATTCTTCTTCATGCAGCTATTCTATTTTCCTAAGACTCTTTATTGAAAAGACTGTCCCTCTTTCCTTGGCAACTTTGTTGAAAATCAACTGGTCATGAATGAATGAGTTCATTTTTGGGATCTCTATTCTGTTTCTTTGTTAGATATGTTTGTTTTTATGCCAATAGTATGCTGTTCCAATTACAATAGTCAGTGTGATACTTCTAGCTTTGTTCTTTTTTTGATTAAGATTGCTATGGCTAGAATGGGTTTTTTTTGTTTGTTTGTTTTTTTTTTGTATGTGTGTGTGCGCGCACATGTGTGTAGTTCTGTAAGAATTTTAGGATTTCTTTCTATTTCTGTGAAAAATGAATTGGAATTGGGAACAGATGGCACTGAGTCTCTAGGTTGCTTTGAGTAGTATGGACCTTTTAATAATATTGATTCTTGAAATCCATGAACATGGAATATATTTCCATTTATTTTTGTATTTTTTTAAAATAGTATTTTAGTTGTAGATGGACACAATATCTTTATTTTATTTATCTATTTTTATGTGGTGCTGAGGATCAAACCCAGGGCCTTCCACATGCTGGGCAAGTGCTCTGCCACTGAGCTACAACCCCAGCCCCATTTGTGTATTTTTCAATGTCTCTCATCAATATTTTGTGGTTTCCCATGTTAAGATCTCTCATTTCTTTGGTCAAATATATTCCTAAGTACTTTATTTTATTTTTTTTGTAGCCACTGTAAATGAGATTGCTTTCTTGATTTCCTTTTCAAATAATATGCTGTCAGTATATAGAAATGCTATTTATTTTTGTGTTTTGATTTGTATCCTGAAACTTTACTGTATTCATTTATTAATTCTAAATTATTTAAAATGTTTATGTAATAAACATTTTCATAACACACATAAATTGCATCCAGGATAGGTCATATATTAAGCCACAAAACAAGCCTGAACAAATTTTAATGTGCCTAATACCATTTTTTTGGCATTAGGCATTATATCCCACAGCAGATCTCCAGAACTTATAAATAAATTGAAATGGAAACATTCAGAATTGTAAAAAACATTTGCAAAACATATATGTGATAAGGGGTCAATTTTCTAACTAAATAAGGGATTATTTAGTTAGAACTTAGGAGCAGAAAAGAAATAAAAAATTAAAACAACAAAAACCCAAACAAAACAAAACCAAAAGAGAACAACCACCACTAACCAAACAAAATCCTGATTTAAGCATAGGCAACAGACTTGAACAGATAGAAGACGTTAAGATTGAATATTTGTATCCTTCCCAAAATTCATGTTAAATCCTACCCCAGTATGATGGTATTAGGAGGTGGTACCTTTAACAAGTGCTTAGGTCATGAGGGTGGAGTCCTCTTGCATAGGATTAGTGCCCTGATAATCCTAGAGAGCTCACTCAACTTTTCTATTGTGTGAAGCCACAATGAGAAGACTGTGGTCTCTTACCAGACATGAAATGTGTGAGAGCCTTAATCTTTGACTTCATAGACTCTCAAACTGTGAGAAATCAATTTTTGTTGTGTAAGCAATCCATTTGATGGTATTTGTCATAGCAGTTTCAATGACCTAAGAAAAACAATACAAATGACCAAAAGGTATATAAAAAGATGCTTAACATCATTAATTAGCAGAGAAATATATTCAAGACTATAATTTGATATTATTTTATATCTAGTGTGGCTATATTTAAAAAAAGTATTAGCATGGTTATGTTCATCAACAAGTGAATGGATTATGAAAAGTGTGGTACTTACCTACAGTAGAATAGGTAAAAAAAGTGTGGTACTTACCTATAGTAGAATAGGAAAAAAAAGAAAATCTTGTCATTTTGTGACAAATTGATGAATATGGGGGAATTTAGAGGTGAAATCGTACATTTATTTTTTTGTCATATAATTTCTTATTTATTTTATGATGTACATTTTGGGAAGGCTTTTTTTTCCTTACTAAATTTCTCTATTTTTACTTAGAACAAAATTTAATTGATTTTATTCACTGGGATAAAAGACCACACAGTTTACTGTATTTAATTTTATGGTTGTTTATTTTTAAAATTATAAAATATAACACTAAATACATATCATTTGATAGAGAAAACATAACCTCCCCTGTAGGAAAACAGAATAGAAGAAGAATTTTATTATTTCTAGATACTTAATGCTATCAAGGTTCATAAACTTTGTGAAAGGAATTTAATTCATCTGTTAATAAATTAATCTCAGACATATAAAACCCAATAATTATTGTGTTTTAAATTTATATATCATATTGAATGTTTGGCTTTGTATTACTTTAAAGTGTGTACCAACATACATGCAATGTGATACCAAAATTAACTTACTGTATTGTATGAATTTCATTAGGAAAGAAAATTATCACATTACCTCAGCCTTGGATAAATAGATCATTCTGTGAAATGTCTCCCCTGAATTATAGTTTCATTTCACATGCTAATCTTTCATCAATGGATAATAAAAGATGAGGCCATTTTTAAGTATTTCAATTACATCTAGAAAACAATGTGTCATTCTTCCACATTTATGTATTATTCATTGAGACCCATGAAAAATTTAAATTACTTTCATAAAAATTAAATATATCTTGAAGAACTAACATGTTTCTCTTGATAAGAGGAAATTAATCATCATACTTTCCTATTTTATTTGATCCCTAGAGTTTTCAGAACTAAAAGTAAAGTTTACACAGTAATTCTACTATTTTTGGTTTCATTATGTCTATAGTTGTTCAATCATAAAATCAATACATGTTCACTGCAACATTTTTTTTTTTTTGGTGCCAGAGATTGAACTCAGGAACACTTAACACTGAGCCCTATTCCCAACCCTTTTTATTATTTTTTCTTTTGAGACAAGATTTCACCAAGTTACTGAGGGCCTCATTAAGTTGCTGAGGTTCCTTGCAATAATTTAAGCAGATCAGGAATGTACAGTTTCTAATCAGCAAGCATTGGCTATTAGAAGGAGAGAGTATCCTTTCAGATATTACATACAATGCACCTAAAGCCCCTCCATCCAGCAGAAGTGTTGTAAAAAGAGAAATTTAAATCTTTAGTTTGACATTTTCATAATAAAAGCAAATCATTTTTAATTTGTGACACTTAGAGATGTTTATGCTGCTTTCTTCATTTTATCCCATTTGCTTTCATTGTACATAAAAGATTTATTTTCCCATGTTGCTTCACACTCCTAGACTTTTTTGACTTTGTCTCCAACAAGTTCTACATTATATAAGCTTAGCCTCTCCTGCTAGATACTTCCAGCAGCCTCTGGGTTGCAGCCCAATGACTTTTTGCTTGTTTCTCTCAATTTCTAGTGCCGAAAACACAAACCTGATTTACCAATACTCCCAAGACATTTGGAGATGTCTTGGGAGAATAGGTAAATGGAATGAGAAAGAATGATGAAATTCTCTTTCAAAGACAGTCAGAGTTCCCAGGCTTAAGGGCAACTTCTCAGTAAGTGAAGATGTTTCATCTGGCATTAGCAGAGTCAGTTCTGGGATCAAGGCCCCTGCCTTTGATCTGTGAAACTCATAGATCCAAACAATTAAACAAGTAACTTTCTGCTTACGTTTCTATGCTGTAAATCACATTAATTAGTACTAAAAGGATTTGGAGGAAAATCTGTTTTCTTAAAGAAAATAATCTGATTAAGCTGTTTATCTGAGATTCATAAAGTACTATTTGCTAATAAAGAGAAAAAAATCTGTATAGTTGCGGAAGTCATATTATTTGAGGAAGTAGAATCAACCATGAAAGGAAAGTTAATTCTCCAAAAAGAGCTTTAAATGGTTAATGAGTTTTTTTAACTTCAGCTTTTTTTTTTTTTTTTTTTTTTTACTGAGTGGCTACTACAAAATATTTTGGGCATGGTTAATGTTTTAATATTTTATGTTTTTCTAACAACATCCTACTATTTTATCCTCCAAAGACCCAGTTATGAATTATAACAGGACATTAAACTTGTAAGATGCATAATTATTCCTGCTTTTTTTTTGAGGGTAGAGACACTTGGATAAAATTTTAAAAATGAAACACTAAGAGAAGGTTAAATTGTAAGTTTCTGTGACAATGGCTATTCAGGTTGGTTAAAGTTGCTTGGACTTTTTTTTTTTTTTTCCTCTGATGACATATGGCATTCAGGGAATGGTCCACAGCAGTAAGGAAATGCTATAGCTGAGTGATGTAAGTATTTGCAATTCCTTCTTTTTTTCCTTTTGCAAGTTTGTGACTTCTTTACTAGAAATGACAAGATGACATATTTAGGCCCAAATAAGATCAGCTTCTCTACTCAACTCTTTAATAGCACAAGAGTCTTAGAAAGCTTAGCACCTTTTATATATACAATTTATATATTTTTATTGTGTATTTAATAATATAGCATATTGAAACTCCGCAGGATATTATTTATATTGTATTATAAGTTAATATATTTAAGATTTATCCCGATTATTTATCACTTTATCTTAATTTCTCATCTTAGACTTTCTATCTGAGGTCACTTTCCTTCTGGCTAAGGTACATACTTGAGAATCTTTTGCCTTGGGAGAGCAAATGAGCCCCTGGTCACTGGCTGATCCTGTGAGGTCCACAAAAATCAAGCCTGGGAAACATTGCTTGCCAAAGGTGAAAATGTTAACAGCTTTGACACTCAGCTCTGATACTGTTATCAGACATTCCAGTACAATGGACTTGGGTGCAGCAGGGTAATAGCAGGATGTTCTCAGCACTGTAACAATAGGATAGCTGCATAAATGTTTCTAGCTCTGTTACTTTTTAGTGCAAAAAGAAGCCTCTCAATAACTCACAAGCCTTGAACAATTTACAATGCCTCTATAGTTTTAACTTCCTGATTTTGAGACCTTATGTGATAAACTGTGGAGCTAGTTCTGGGTCACTGTTCCTTCATCAGAGTGCAGTGTCCCACTTGGCCCCAATTTCACTTGAAAATGTCACTGTATTTTCTTTGTCTCTGTTTTTCTCCATATCCAGTCACCCCTACTCGAGATCCTTTGTTGACGCTTCGTGGGTCATGGCATTTCATTAAAATCTGTTAGTGGAATATGACTTGTGTATTTTTATTTTGCACTATTAAAAACTTATTAAAATGACTAACAATAAAAAATACATTAGTGGCAAATGATCTAGGTTTTGTTGTTGTTGTTGTTGTTATTGTTGTTCATCTGAAAACATTTTCCTCATTCTGAAAGAGACAGTTTCTGGGTATAAAATTTCAGGTGAATAGTTATTCTTACTGAGTTGTTGAAAATATCATTGCATTATTTTTAGCTTCCATTATTGCTGCTGAGAAGTTAGTACTTAGTTTAACTTTCATTCTTTGAAAATAAGTGCATTTTCTTCCCTGTGTTTGCTTTTAAGAAAATTATTTTTGTCTTAGGTATTCTATGGCTATATCAGGATATATCTATTGTTTTTTCCTTTTTATTTATACTGCTTGGGATAGTTTGAGCTTCTTTAATGTGCGAATTGGTGTTTTATCAGTTCTTGAAGCTATTTTCAGAAGAGATAAGCAGTATATTCAGTGCTCATAAACCATTATAACTGTTTCCATACCTGACACTAGCATCTGGGTGGATGCAGCTTCAGTTTTCACTAAAGGGACAATTGACCTCTTACCCACAGGTGTCTCCCAGTGGGATTATGCAACTTACATTACATAGTGATTACATTTGGCTAAAGAATATCTCAATAGCAGACTTTTGTGACACTGGGATGGCTCATGGCTCATTTGGGGGATGGCATTATAATGACTAATGGTAACTATATTGATTTTAATGGCTATTTATTTTCGTATTTGTCACTTCCACTATTGTGAAAAGAACAGCATATTGTGACTAAATTACTTTTGGGTTGCAGCTCATTTATAACAAACACTATCAAAATATATGATCTCCAGAGCTCCATCTTGGGATGGGAAATTGAAAATGATGCTAAAAGTCAACTCTCAACTTCATACGTGCCTCAGGAGCTGAGACCAGATTCTGGAGACACTTATATGAAATGTTCCTTTTTGCACAGGGCTTCTATAGGTATGTAACCTTTAATTATTACTCTATTGTCAATCTTATTAACCAATTTTGGAATTTGGAGATAATACTCAGACATAGGTAGGATAATGGTGTACATGCCAAGGATATTTTTCATCCTAGTGATCAGAGTATATGGAAAGTTGATGCTTAGTTTCCATTGAACTTATGCAGAGGCAACTAGAGGGCATCTAAGGGACATAACAATAGTACCTGGTCTCTACAGGAGCTCCATGTGACCCTGCACAAAGATTATAGGGGCATGGGATGGTTGAGGTATATCATTTAAGCAACATTTTCATGAACTTTTTGGGAATTGCATCAGATTGCAACTCCGGAATGTTTCTGAATTTTTACCTGGGCATAAATTTCAAACTTAGGTCCAATACAGAGAAGATGATCAATCTGTGCCCCATAAAGTCATCGTGCATTTTCCCAATTTTACTACATTCACAGGAAAATTTGTACAGTCATATTTCAAACACTCCTTGATTAGCAAAACTGTGGTGAACTCAAGTATATTTCTCATTTTCCCAAGAGATTTCATATTTCGACTTCATAGGTGGTGTTATAGCAGTGATTTTCCAGAGTTGTGCTAAAGATTTCTGCATGCCACAAATTTCTTCCAATATTTCATGGTCTACGTGATCATTCCCATCTAGAATTTTACAACTCACTTAATGGTTTCTTCCTATAGGCACCTTTGGAAGCTTATCAAGTTACACAAACCAGTGCATTGCCCAGATGGGAGTACAACAAGTTAGTCTGTGAGGTTCTGAAGTCACATAGCTATAAAACTGTGGGTGAAAACACCATGGTCAATATGAATGATATCACACTCAGTATCAGCAATTACACTGAAGGCAACTTTGACAAAAGACTACTGTTTTTTTCTGTTCTGGAGGAAAATGAACCAATGCTATGCTTTTTGTTTGTTTGTTTTTATTTTTTTGCCTACATGAGGAATCAGTTGCCCTTAGGATTATTCTTATTATGCTTGTGTAGTTTTTTTATAGCTTCAGAAATTGTAGAAGCAATACTTATGGAGAAGCCTAAATTTTCTGTCAGTCCTCATGCTATCTTCTGCTGTGATTATCAAAAAGCATTTTTATCTCTAGTTAATGATGTAGCCACGGTTTAGGTAATTTTTAAAAATTATCTTGCACCTTTGCTCTTATATTTTTCTTTCAGACCAGTCCCCCAGTCAGACCTGTTGATGCTGACTTTAGCACACAAATCATCTTTAGAATCTCTAATTGAAAGAATTAGTCTACAAATTTTGCTGTTTTATGTTGCTGTGTAAACTATGGAATGAACATATGATCAAAATAGGGATGTTGGCAATAATTAGTTTGAATTAGGTAGAAAGTTGTACTAAGTTTCTCAAGATTACTCCACAATATTGTAAGAGTTGTTTTGTTTGATAGGTCATATAGAAGGAGGTGTGAACCTTACCCTTGCAAAACCTTTTGTAAAATTCAAGTTGATTTTATCTAGGCAAATCTTGTAAATGTAAGAAAGTGCTAGTAATTTTAATGTTGTCAGCTTAGTGGTGGTTGCCTTCTGAAAACTTCTGAGAATATTCTGAAAACATATGAACATTAAAAGATATTCTGTACTAACTGTGGCCAACTGAGCAAACTTTTAAAATGTCATTTTAATTTCTTTTTGTTTTTATTAATTGGTGCATTCTAGTTATATGTGATAGTGGGGTTCCTAGAGGCACTTAACATAATATTCTTCATTTCAATTCCTAGTATGTCCCCTTTCTTTCTCTTCCTCCCTCTCACTGATTTCCTACCTACAGAGTTCATTTTTTCAAGATTTATTGCAATCATTCAATATCAGCCTTCCTAAGTTCAACAAAAGTACATTCTTCTAATTTCACATTTTTCCCCAAGAGTGTTTATTTGTATTATATAACCATAAAACAAATATATTTATAATATATAACATATAAATGATCATATATTATATATGACATAATTACACATATACATATAATACATGCTTCCATATATGTATACATCACATATGTATTATGTATATATATTATATTTGTATTGTATATGTATATATTATATATAACATATAATCAAAAAATGAACATATGGTTTCATGCATCAACATAGGGAATGTAGAGAAAACATTGGTCAAAGAGTACAAAGTTTGAATTAGGTAGAATAAGTTTTTGAGATTTATTGAGCAGAATGAGAACTAATTAATAATAATGTATTGAATATTCAAAATTGCAAAGAATTGATTTCAGATGTGCTTACTCCAGATAGTATGTGAGGAGATATGTATGTTAGTTTTAACCATTCCTTGTCTGCATGTGTCAACACATCACAGAATATCCCATAAATGTATGAAGTTACTATTTGCCAATTAAAATTAAAAAAAAAACAAATGAAAATTCAAGAGTAATTTGAGAAAAAGATAAAAAAAAATAAAGAACTTTCATTCTGATAGTCACTTTCGTCCAGAAACCAATTTAACTACCTTTTCCTCAGGAGCTCTCCTTAGGCACCTTCAGAAAACAGCAGTTGAGAGCACTGCTTCTGTTCTTGCTTCCAGTGAAGAAGTTCAGTCCAGAGATCACTGGTAGGATTAATGGTTTGGTGACATTAGTTACATTGTTTTACCTGAACTGGCCTTATAATAATTCATTTTGAAGACATGTGTGAGATATATATTTAACACAACATGTCTTTGCTATTCCTAAATGCATACAACAAACAGAATTTAGTTCATAGAGGTTTTTGCTTATTCTTTCTAAACATAAACTTCTATGACATGTAAATAGTTGGTAAAATTTATATGAACAAGATTTGATTGTGTCTGCTTGTATAATTATATCAAAATGGATTCTACTGTCATGTACAACTAAAAAGAATGGATTAAAAAATATTTGAGGGCTGGGGTTGTGGTTCAGAGGTAGAGTGCTTGCCTGGCATGCATGAGGCATTGGGTTCAATCCTTAGCACCACATAAAAATGAAATAAAGGTATTGTGTCCACCTACAACTGAAAACTAAATGTTTTTTTAAAAAAGATTTGATAGTGTTCTCTTTAACCATATTTTAGGATATTCTTAATATAGAATTATTTTCTCTGCCATCCCTTTTATCCTAAGGTGAACCATAATACCAATGTGAGCCTTAATGTGTCTTTCCTAGATTATCATATATTGTAATTAGTTTCTGAATAATATAAGGATCTGGTGATGCAGTTTCTTCTCATATTCAGTGTATAATATCATAGTGAATTCTACGCAACCTCTGCAAAGAACTTAGAACTTCCCACCTTAATGGAAATATATTTTTCCAAAGTAAGCATGATACCATTTCTATTCTCTTCTGGGTTGATCACATTTGCACTATACTATGTTTGAGAAGTCTGAGATAATATTTGAAAGCAATAGGTCAGATTTAGGGGTTGAGGGTACTGTTATCTTTAACAAGGTGAAGATTTGTGCAGGAGCCATGGGTGTCATTGCCTAAGATCAATGCAAACTTTGATCATGGTGGTGATGAGGGGAATCTTTTGATGGAAATGGAATTGCTGCATGGTATCTGTCTCATTATATAAAATAATGTCATTCATTAAGATAGTCTTATTATTAAATATATTCATGAAGTAAAGTGACAAGAATAATTTTAATACAAGGGATATTATACTCCTCAGAAAGTAAATGTGAATAGTATAATGTAATGGCTCAGTTTATGGGGTTTGGAATCACACATAACTCAAATCAATCTGGAGCATACTATTTACCAGCCTCAGTTTCTTACAAATAGTATCTAATACCCATCATTATATTCTCTCTATCTATAGGTATGAAAGGGGAACTTGTTTTATTAAACTAGATTGGGTGATATCCTTCATAAGGATATGAGGTATAAAAGACCCTTAGGACAATTCTGAATCTAGAACAGCACATTTATATTAATATAATGTAAAATAATTATCTAAAAATATGAATATGTGTAAAATTACATGATTGCATCAGATGATCTAATTCATAATTTTTCAATAGTGTTCTATTTCCTGCACATTCTATAATGTATTAGTAAAGTTTTCTTATATCTTTCCTTAGGTAAATCAAGTGAAGGGGAATAGTGGAGGGACATATTCTCAATAAAATGAGGGAATCATAATGGGAACCAGGATTAAGGGATTGAATATTGTTTCCCACCCAAAATTAATTATTTTAAATCAGAGATGTATTAAATGCTGATGTTTTGAGTCTTTTACCTGTCAGCCTCTGCATGCTTTGATTTGGACGGTGGCCTTATGCTGTCAGGTTGAGAGCTCTGCAGAGTTACTTTTGAGATCTTCATTCCACATAGAGGGCCTGCTCCATGATCCTTGCCTATGTGTATTCTTTAGATGCCACTGAAATCATGACAGTATCAGGACACAAACTTGAAAAACCCTTGTACTCGTGTTAACTGATTGACTAGCTTTCTATTTCCTTTAGCTTATCAGAGTCACTAACTGTAAAGAAGTGCAGATCATACTCTCCAATCAACAGCTGTAATTCTGCAATATCATCAGTTACCAGGGGACGCTGCTGCATGAGGTTTCCACAGAAGCACATCTTTTTACAGCTTGGAAATACATGAAAGATCTTAATGCCTTCATTTCAACTGGAAGAGGTTAAGTAATTTACTCAGATTTACATTAAGTTATGGTTCAATAAGAACCAGATTCAAAGTCTCCTGACTTTTAGTTACCTTCCTTCCACCCACTTTACTCCACTTTCACACATACAGTCACTTGTCCAAATATATCTTTCTTCAAGTGTGAGGTGAATTCTTCTAAAAGGTTCATACTTGTGAATATATCACTGACAACTTCAGAGCTGGGTCATTATCATGGCTCAATTAAAATGTTTCAGATGCAACTGGATCCAAGGTTTAAAACACTAAATACAAATGATCCTTTTAATCAAGGAAATTCTGAGTTTGAAAAGAGGACCTTCATACTGTATCTCTGACCAGCAACTGATGATGCTATTCATCTGTGATGCTAATTGGTTCTTCAGCATCAAGACTGCCCAATCTAGCATCAAAGAAATGAATATCTTGATTCTTATTATTTGGGATTTGGTTAGAGATGGGACATAGCTCTCATTGCTTGAGACTTATCTGCTTTTCTCTAACCCAGTCCTCTCCTGTTCTCCAGCATGGTGAGTCTGTGGCTCCGTGGAAGCTCCTGCATGGCACGTCTGACAATGATGCTGATGGCGCTGAGCCTTCCCCTGGCTTTGACCAGGGACACCAGACGTAAGTGCACTCTTCAGGCATGGAGAGGCCATGGTTGGGGGAAGGAAGGGAATTACTTTCTTAGTTTGTCCAGGCCAAGACCCTCAAAACTTGTGACATTTTCTTCAGTGTCCACGTTTTCATCATGTGGATTCTAAACTACTTCCAAAAATATGGAGCTAGAGCCTTTTCTATGAGACCTGTTTGAAAAGTCTTCATATGTAAACCATTTCTTTTCAAGTTGTCTTCAGTAAAATCTCCAGTCTCACATCATGTTCTCTCAGGGCCTTGGACGGATTAGAAATAATGTTAAACTAATTTCTCACTCAGTGGTTCCCTTTATATGTTATTATGCCAGAAAAAAAGGTGATTTTTTTTTTAAAAAAACTAACTTTTATGTATAGTTCTAGTCTCTTTTATACATGCCACTTGGTTCTTTGTTTAAATTATGAAATATTAAAATACACAAGCAGTTAGAAGATATCAGTAAAAATAGTAGTAAGAGTCAAAAGGAATCGGAAGGGTTTCTCCCAGGAAACACAGGAAGTGTGAAGCTGCTGCCTCTGTAAAGGGTGAAGATGCTCCAGGAGGTGTCATCCACTGTCTTTTCTCTTTGTCCCTGAACTGCACTGTTCATGACCCTGGATCCCTGTGGGGCAGCTGGTCTGGTGGTATTCTTGACCTTCTTCCTGCTGTGGTTGCACCCTTCAGTTGAGGCAGAGATCCCTTGTACTTGAAATGACTGTATAGAAAAGGAGCACCTCTGGGCTGTTCTTTTGTACCTTAAAATATGTAATGCTACTTCCTCCTCCTCCTCCTCCTCCTCCTCCTCCTCCTCCTCTTCCTCCTTTTCATCTTCTTCTTGTAATGCATCTTCTTAAAACCTGGCATAGTTTAGTGTTCATTTAATGAATCTGCTTTAACCCTCTTATACAATCAGTTTCTCCTGTGTACCCCTGTGTTCTCTGGATTGAGCCCATAGGGGATTGAAAGTTCGGATAAAATTGTATGAAAATCTGTTTTCCAGTCAAAAATGGTCAGTTATCAGCAATTTCGTGAGCTTCAAAATTCTACAACATAATTGGGGGTACAGTGAAGGTGTGAAGTCTGTTAATATCTCCTGGGGCTGAAAACCAGTAAGCAAGTCAAGGGAAGTTGTTGGCTTACTGGGGCCTTAATCCAAATCTCATAGATTTCTCCATTGTGTCTTTTTTCCCTTAATTAGTCATGTTTGGTATTTTCTATCTCCACTCTCCCCCCCTTTTTTGCCCATGTACTCACCATTACTGAATATCCCTGAACTTCACACCTCCTAAGCTCTATAAGAGATTCATCAGAGCAGATAAAACAATATACATTTCCCTTTTTCTTAAAATTGCCTTTTCTTTACCTGTAAATGCTTTTATATGGAGGAGAAAGAAGAAGTTTTCCAGGTGTGGTGACGCAGGCCTGTAATCCTAGTGGCTCTGGAGCCTGAGACAGGAGGATCACGAGTTCAAAGCCAGCCTCAGCAACAGCGAGTGGCTAAGTAACTCAGTGAGACCCTGTCTCTAAATAAAATACAAAACAGGGATGGGATGTGGCTCAGTGGTTTGAGTGCCCCTGAGTTCAATCCCTGGTACCCCCCTCCCCCCAAAAAAAGAGGAAGTTTGTCTCAACTTCTCACAGGAAATACAAGTGATATAATGTGTCATCAGACTAGAAGAGTGTTGATGTTTGAGCCTCTTATTATTTTCCAGGATACCACAGTGATCAATTCCCAGAACCTCAGTAGTTTCATATAGGCCACAGATACTTTTCTGTGTTAAGTACTATATCCTAGGTTTGTTCTAAGCTCCAAAAATTCCATTTGATAAGACAGAAAGCCTCTAGTCTACTGGAACTTATATAATTACAGAGAGAAAGACAATAACCCAATAAACATTTAATGAAGAAAAATATTACAGAGAATAATAAAGGCACTCAAGGGAAAAATATAAAGACATCATCAGGGTGAGAGAGCAGAGAGAAAGGGGACTCACCCAACTTCAGTTTAGGTATGCGGAAATATCCCTGAGAGAGAGGCATTTAGCTGAGACAAGAATAAAGAGATGAGAGTAAGGAGAAGATCTAAGGGAGAAGGGAGAGGCATCAGAGGATAGGCCCCAAAGTGGAAAGCTGTGTGCTGCGCTTAAGTTAGACATTTAGTGACTGAGGGAGTGGCCTGGAGTCCCAGAGGATGAGGTAGATGAAGGGGAAGTCAAGGGCCTAATCAAGTAGGTGCCAAGAGCAAGGGTAAGAAATTTCAATGCTGTTTAAACTGATATTAGGAGCTCCTGGAAAGTTGCAAGAAGAGTCAATTTATATAAAGTTAAAAATAATTCTTTTATATGGAGATTGGATTATTGGGTTCACTTGTGGAGTTGAGGAGACCATTTAAGAGCACAGTAGAATTCTCCAAGGAGAACAGGTTTGTGGTTTCATTTAGTGTGCTCATGATGAAGAGCATGATGAAAATAAGATGGACATTTTGGGGAGGTTTTGCATAAGTAGTTAATAGATTAAACTAAGGAGGGGGTAGAAAATCAAACTTCTTTCGGAGGATTTTGTCTTCATAACTAGGTGGAAGGTGGTGATATTTATTGAGACTGGGAAGACTGAGGGAAGTCAGCACATCAAGTAGGTGGTTAAAAATAAATTTTTTAAACTTAAGATTCAGATGATTTTAAAATGTGTGACACTGTCGAGAAGTCAATGTGGGCATGAGAGACAGAAGTGAGAGTGAAGATAAAACTGGAGGAATATTTGCTGGCAGAATTGACACCATTAAATTCCACAAAATCTGAAAAGATTACACAGGGAAAGAGATTGTGTGTGGAAAACAAGAAGAACAGGACCATCAAAGGGGACTGGGACAGAGAACCAGTGATGTTGGAGGAAAACCAAAGCTGAGTTGCATGGAAGTCAAAGACAGGATACTTTTCCAAAGAGGAGATAGTGGCCAGTGGTGGCTAGACACCACGGCAGGTGAGGGAGAATGTGAGAGGTGTGAGCCCTGGGTTCTGTGGACTTGATCTTGGCAGTCAGTGGAGTATTCAGTTAGGAAACTGGACTGTCTGTGAGAAAAGAGTCAGAGCTGCAGAGGTGAAGACTGGATGGAGATGACTATTGTGAGTGGCAGGTCTCAGGGGAGGACCGTGTTCAGGGGGCCAGTTGGACCTAAAGTAGGAGAACAAAGAGCCTGAAGAGAAGAGAGAGGACTAGAGAACCAGACAGATGTGTCCATTTATTAACAAGAAAGCACTTAGAGGGTCCCTGTGTATAATTTGCTGACTGGCAATGCAAAAAATCATTAATGAAACAGCCAATATTTGCTAGTGATGTAGAATATATAGTTATTATACTAGGGAGGAGAATAGAGTGATGACCAAATCCATCTGGTGTCTGGCAGCATGGAACACTGTAACAATACCATCTGGTGGCTGGAGAACCTCAGAAAACTAGATCCATCAGGGTTGTTACTGTCATCACCAGCAAGTTGAGTTGGGTTTTTCATAGTTTCAATGAATAAGATTCACAAAAGATGAAGCAGCATTCTCCAGGTTAACATTTGAACACTCTCTTCAGTGTCTAAGTAGTGTCTCCCTAGGGAAACTCTCTGAGGAAGCCACACTAGTTTCTAGCTCCATGGTGAATGCACATTGTTCAAGGATACTAAGTAACTGATCTTCTGTTCTCCCATGTCATCTTCTGGGATCTTTCCCCCTGTGCTTCCAATGTCCCTACTACAATGTTCCTACCAATTGAGATGTGCCCATCAGGGGCCTCAGGACAAAACTTAGTACTTTTAGAATTTCAACATTTTCTGACTTTTTAAGATTTTTATCTGATAAACTTTTATCATACATTGAAATGCATGTGACTTGTTTCTCATTAACAGTATGATGGTTTATACCATCTTCATTGGTTAGTCCACTTGCAAACATGAGCATGGCCTCAAATCTTTGCCAAACATTTGTTAAAGTGTTTGTATTAATACAGGCTTTATAGTAACCTGTATCCTGGCTTCTTTCAGAAAGCTCTGGATTTCAAGCCTCTTTAAACTGCATTTAGCATAGAACTTTGCAACTATTTATAACTGTTCTTCATGAATCATGATCCCTTGGTCAAAATATTTCATTACAGATGTCATCCTAGGGAACATTAATAGCCCAAACTTCACTTTTGACAAGTTGAAATCTCAACTGGTGTGTGGAGAGTTGTACATGGACAATGGAATTTGTCTAGTTTTCCAGTAACAAATTTAAGCTACTGATACAAAATCATTATAGAATAGTCAGAAAATACATGCATAATTATCCATATTTTCTTTTTTGAAAAATTATGCATAATAAATACTGGATTTATTTCAGAAATACTGAATTTGGCTTTCTTCAGTGGTTTCTCTGATAGGGGCATTTGCCAAAGTATCTGATCCAAAATATCTATAGTGCTGAGGTTGGAAACATGCATTTACATTGTGCTGCTTCTAAAAAAATCCAGGCTCACGTTATACAAATTCTTGCCTCTACTTCAGTTCTTTTGGTTTGTTTTAGCTTGTTTCAGCATAAAACCAACAAGAAATCTAAAATAAGGTAGTTTTGAGATTCATTAATTTCTTGCTGAATCCATTCAATGAATGTAAATTCAAGATCTTCATTGTTAATTTTTTAAAATTAGAATATTACAGTTACATATAGTAACTGGCTTACACCCCCTCCAATCATACATGCATTGAATTTGATTTCAGTTCTAATCTTCCCACTTGTCCCTCCCTTGGCCCCTGCTATTCTCCTTCCTTTACACTACTGGTCTTTCTTTCATTCATTTTTTAATTTATTTTTTATACATATATAAATATTAAGGTAAAATTTTATGATATATATATATATGTACATCACATGAGTTTTTGAGAGTTCATTCGAAATTTCCTCCCCTTTCTCATCCATCCCCACTCCCTTTTGATTTTTCTTCTTCTGCTCTACTGATTTCTCTATATATTT